CTGCTTTCCACAGTGGATGCACCAATCTGCATTCCCATCAGTGGTGTACTAGCATACCCTTTTCTCAACATCCTCACCAACATTTGTTGTTTGTTGATTTATTTTTATTTATTTATTTATTTATTTATTTATTTATTTATTTTCATTGATTAATTTTTGTTACAGATGTTTCTCCTTTTCCCCCCACTGATTTCCCCCTCACCCTCCCTCCCTGCCCCTTCCCCAGATTGTTGTCCATGTCCGCTGTTCATGCATACATGCATATAAGTTCTGTGGTTCATCCCTCCCCCACCTCCCCGCTCTTTAGGGGATTGTCAGTCTGTACTCCGCTTCCGCGTCTCTGGGACTACCCCATTCCTCAAACTGTTATGTTCATTATATTCCACAAATAAGTGAGATCATATGAAACTTGTCTTTCTCTGTTTGGCTTGTTTCACTTAGGATGCTACTTTCCAGGTCCCTCCATGTAGTCTCAAAGGATAAGAGATCTTTCTTTCTTACCGCTGCATAGTACTCCATTGTGTATATGTACCACAGCTTTTTGATCCATTCGTCTACTGATGGACACTTGGGCTGTTTCCAGATCTTAGTGATTGTAAATAGTGCTGCTACAAAGATGGGGGTACATATATTTGTTGATTTATTGATGGTAGCCATTGTTACAGGGGTGAGGTGATATCTCATTGTAATTTTAATTAGCATTTCTCTGATGATTAGTGGTGGTGAGCATTTTTTCATGTCTATTGGCCATCTATAAGTCCTCTTTGGGGACAGAAACAGTGTTTAGCTTATGGAATTTGTCTAATAAATATGTTTTGATGAATAATTAGAATGACATGCAGTTACCAAGCATACACAAATGAACAAGATATTCAAAATAAAGGCTATAAAAACAAAAATACAGAGACATAAAACAACTTGTTGGTCTAGAAATCACACATAGATTCATATAACTGGAGCAAATATTTATTTTGGAGGGATAGGGGATGTTTAGGAGTAGTAAAACATAAGAAGTGGATACAGTGGTGATATTATTAAGGTACATGTCAAGGGATTTGGACTTTATCTTTAAGCAATAAAACCATTTAAGGTTATGGATGTTTTAAAATCAGATAGATTCTTTAGGGAGATCATTCTGGTTGCAGCTTGGAAAAGTGAGAGAAAAGAAGGGTGAACAAGATAAGTTTGGAGATATTGCCAGAATGAAGTAAGGGGTAATACTGAAGACCCAAAATAACATAGCAACAGTGGTGAAGTAGAGGCAAAGTTTGGATAAGCCAAAGTATAACTAAACTTACTATCCAATTACAGATAAAGGGGTAAGATAAAATAGCTCATTTCTCTCTCAAGGTTTGTTACATTACTCTAAGATTCCTCTAAAAAAATTTAAAAAATAACAATGTCCAAAATGGCAAAACTGTTTTTCTCTTATTTTAACTAGAAAGTATATAATTTAACACATTAAGGAAATATACAAATAATTTTTTATTTGTATTGAGGATAGATTTTTTTGTTTTATTAGATACCTTTTCTGGAATCTACTATTGTTTACATATTTTTTCATTATTTCACTAATTAACATAAGTAGTTATATTAAGGGATTTCTGAATGAGTCTTTTTTAATCCTAGAATATGTTAATTGTTCTTTGTTTATGTTGCTTAATTGTATTTATAAATTTTAGCATTTACTATGTTTTCACTATGTGTTTAAACTATAGAAATTTTGCTGATATAATTTTTTCTGTATCTTTTATCAGGACTATATTTGCCCTTTTACATAGCTTTCTAATATTTTATGACTTAACATATATAAGAAGAATTATCTGTTTCTTAAATTTTGGGGGAAAGTAAGGAAAAAATCATGTACTATATAGTATTTTGGAAATGATGAGAGTATAGTTGTTAACTTTCAATTTTTTTCTCAATCACCAGTTAATTCTTTATTTATTTACATTTTATAATTTTTTCCAAAATACCAGTTTACTCAAGACTTTGAGTTACTTACAGAATGTTCTACTGTCATTTTAAAAATAAATCTAATTTAGTATTATATATGATTATTAAGTTTTATGTTCCATTCTATTTGATTTTTCAGAAGTTGGTCTATTCTGTCAGCTTATTACAGAATTAGTTATTGGATTACTTCCATTCTTTTCCATTCATGTTCATTCACTTCTTTTATCCTAACTATTTCCAATTACTTTATATAGTATTTTATTCTTTTATAATGTCCTAAATTGAATGCTTAATTTCTTTACCTTTACTCTTTTGTTTTTCATAAAAATACTACCCTGCCCTGGCCGGTTTGGCTCAGCGGTTAGAGCGTCGGCCTGCAGTCCTGAGAGACCCGGGTTTGGTTCCTGCTAAGGGCATGTACCTCGGTTGCAGTTTGTCCCCGGCCCTGGTCGGTTGTATGGGTGGCAGCCACTCGATGTGTTCCTTTCACATCGATGTTTCTCTCTCTCTCTGTTCCTCTCTCTCCCTCCCACTCTACCTGAATAAAAAATGGAAAAATGTCCTCGGGTGAGGATAAAAAAAAAAAAAAAAAAAATACTACCCTAATTTACCAAATGTTATTATTAATGAAAGTTATATTACATAATACAATGTATATGCAATGTATATTACATTTATCTCATTCTAAAGCTGGGTGGACAGTGTGTGTCATTGAAATAAAGATTGACATTCATAGCTATAGCTATTGTAGCATATATATTATTTTAACCATTATCCTTTTGATACAGTTATTTTATTTTATTTTATCTTATTTTATTCAATTTATTTTATTTTATCTCACTTAACATGAGAACTACTCTCTTAACAAAAATTTAAGTGTGCGATACACTATTGTTGACTGTGGGTACAATGTTCCACAGCAGATCTCTACAGCTTATCCATCTCGTTTAACTGAAGCTTTATGCCCATCAATTAGTAACTCCTCATTTATCCCTGCCCCAGCCCCTGATAACCATCATTTAATTCTGCGACTCTATGAATTTGACTATTCTCTGTACCTCATATAAGTGAGATCACGAAGTATTTGTCTTTCTGTGACTGACTTATTTCACTTAGCATGATATTCTCAAGGTCATCCATGTTGTTGCATATTACAGAGTTGTTTTTTTTAAAGTTGGACTAGTATTCCATTGTATATATACAGAGGACATTTTCTTTATCTGTTTATTGGTTGATGCAGATTTAGGTTGTTTCCACACCTTGAATATTGTGAGTAGTGTTGCATTGAACATGGAGGAGCTAATAGTTTTGAGATCCTATTCTAGTTATTTTGGATAAAAACCTAAAAGTGATATTGATGTATCATATGGTTACTACAGCAAAAGCACAGGCAACAAAAATAGAAATAAACAAGTGGGACTGCATCAAACTTATGCACAACAAAGAGAACAATCAACATAGAATAAAGGCAACCTATGAAATGCAAGAAAATATTTACTAATCATATATCTGATAAGGGGTTAATCTCCAAATATATAAGACACTTATAATTTAATAGCAAAAGAACAAATAACCTGTTTTTGAAATGGACTAAAGAGTTGAACAGCCATTTTTCAATGAAGACATACAAATGGCCAATAGGTATATGAAAAATGTTCAATATCTCTAATTATCAAGAAAATGCATATGAAAACCACACAAAAAATATCACTTTACACTAGTCAATATGGTTTTTAATAAGAAAATAACTGCCATTTGACCCAGTGATCCCACTTCTAGGAATGTGGTACATATACACAATGGAATGCTATGCAGCTATAAGAAAGAGAGATCTCACCCTGGCTGGTTTGGCTCAGCGGTTAGAGCATCAACCTGCAGACCAGACAGTCCTTGGTTTGGTTCCTGCTAAGGGCACGTACTTTGATTGCAGTTTGTCCCCAGCCCCAGGCCAGGTCGTGTGGGTGGCAACCACTCGATGTGTCTCTTTCACATCAATGTTTCTCCCTCTCTCTTCCACCCTCTGTCTCTCCTGCTCTATCTGTAGATAAATGAAAAATATATCCTCAGGTGAGGATTAAAAAAAAAGAGAGAGAGAGAGAGAGAGATCTTTTATCTTTTTCTATCTGTAGATAAATGAAAAATATATCCTCAGGTGAGGATTAAAAAAGAGAGAGAGAGAGAGATCTTTTATCTTTTGGATGACATGGAGTATTATGCTAAGCGAAATAAGCCAGTCAGAGAAAGACAAGTATCACATGATCTTCCTTATTTGTGTAATATAATGAACAAAATAAGCTGATGAACAAAATAGACCCAGAGAAATAGAAGTAGGGTTCAGACTGACAAACCTCAGAGGAAGGGGTGGAGGGGAAGGAAGAGATAAACCAGATAACATGGACAACAATGTTGTGAGGAGGGGTGGGCGGGATCAGGAGGAGGGTGTCAACAGGGGGAAAAAAAGAAAAATATGTAACAAAAATAAATTAATTTAAAAAAATTTAAAAAGAAAGCAAAAGATAACAGGTGTTGGTAGTGATGTGGAGTAATCTGGACCCTACACCTGTTGACGAGAATATAAAAGAGTAAATTTGCTATGGAAAATAGTACGGAAGTTCCTCAAAGAATTAAAACTAAAACTGTCTTTCCTTCATCCTGGGGAAAAAATCCTTCACCCATTGTGGCACTATTTCCATGGTAATGAGTTGTTTTCTTTATAATGATTCACTTTGAACACTGGTATTAAAAACATATTGTGACAAATTTGGGGACTAATTATGAGGATGTACATTTTTGAATTAAAAAAGAGAAAAATTAAGCCAATGTGTTTTATTAAATTATGACCCAGTTTAGCTTGCCAAAACATGTTGATTTGAGTCTTAACTAGTGCCAGGATTCTACTAAACATTTGGTGGCAGGAATCCTAATAGTAGGTTAGTGCCCAAAAGAAGATTTAAAAAGCCTTTTCAAAATAGGTCTGGAAAACTCAAATTTGTTGAATAACAGTAAATAAACCCAGAGTCTTGTCCTTTCATGAGAATTCATCCTTAAAATTTGGTTCCCAGCAGTATTTTGAAAAGTCTCTGACGAATCTCTTTGGTTTTGATGGAATAGATAACAGGGTTGAGCATTGGAGGGACAAAGAGATAAATGAGAGACATGAGTGTGTGCACATACTGTGGGGCATGCCTGCCATAACGAGCTGCCATGGACACACCCACCATGGGCACGTAGAAGATGAGCACAGCGCACATGTGTGACACACATGTGTTGAGTGTCTTTAACCGTTCCTCCCAAGAGGCAATGGCAAGAACAGAGCGCAGAATGAGCACATAGGAGATGACAATGAGTACAGAATCCAGACCAAAGGTAGAGATGACAATGAATAGACCAAAAATGTTATTGATGGTAATGTCACCACAGGGCAGGCGGATCAGATCTGGATGCAGACAGTAAGCATGGGAGAGTACATTGGCCTTGCAGAAAGGCAACCTCTTCAGAAGGAAAGGCAATGGGAAAACCATACAGAAACTGCGAATGATAACAGACATGCCCATACGTGCCACACAGGCATCAGTGAGCACTGTGGCATAACGCAGTGGGTTACAGATGGCCACATAGCGGTCAAAGCTCATAACCAGCAGGATCCCAGACTCTGTGAAGGAGAAGAAATGAATAAAGAACATTTGAGCCATGCAAGAATCAAAGCTGATCTTCTTTAAGTGAAAGCAAAATGTGGCCAGTACCGTGGGCAGCGTGGAAGAAGACACACCTAGGTCATTAACTGACAGCAAGGCCAGGAAGTAGTACATAGGCTGATGCAAGCTCTGCTTCTCCTTGATAATAAAAAGGATAAGGGCATTGCCCACAATGGAGATAATGTAGAGGGTACCAAGAAGCAGAAATATCCAGTGCTGCAAGGTCTCCATCCCTGGGAGACCTGTCAGGGTGAAAGGAGGTAGCTCTGAGCTGTTGTGGAAGTGCTCTCCCATGCTGGAACTGTTTCTTAGATTCTATGACCACTATCCTGTAAAAAAGACAAATACAGTTTTATCAATGGCCTAATATTTTAAGACTCTTATTTACCATCCAGCCCCTCACTTTATGGCATTAGTCGATTTTGTTCACCAAATCACTCATTCTTGTCTCTCACTGTCACCAATATTTATGAAATTGCTGTAGTTTTCTGTTGATCTATCTAGCTAAATAAATTATGTTGCCTTTCTTTATACCTGTACCTGTTGCCACTTTGCTCATTCTCACATTTAAAGCTATGAACTCATTTTCAATCTATGGGCATAACTTTGTTCAAGATCTAAGGCAAAACTGTTCTGTCCTCTTCCTGGGCACTCTACTCATTTACTGAACCATTAAGTTTTCTTCTTTCCATCCTCTTAGACTGCTGAACAGTTCCTACCTTATTATGACTCCCCAGCTTTTCACTCCTTTGTAGACTCTCAGTTCCTCCATACATATGGACAGAAGAATGGTGAAAAGAAAGATATCCATACTCAGAGATAACCTTCCAGACATTCATTGCATGCGCTAACCCCCGTATTTCCACTCATCTTTTCATCCTTCTACCCATTCATCTTATGGAATTACTTTTCTTCTTAAAGAGCTTAATTTGTTGAGAATATGTTTAGTACTTTATTTCAGAACGGAATAATTATTTACTGATAATAGTCATTAAGTACTAAGAAATACTTAATAAAAATAATCATTTTCCTATACCATGGAATTGCTTCTCATCTGTGTTCTCCATTTCTGTAAATAATAACATCATTGTGCGTAAGATTGAGACTCAAAACCCAAACACACCACTGACTTCCTTTTCTTTACATTCTACATTAAACTGGGTAACAATTGAGGAAGGTGATGACCCCAAAGTGCCTCTATCAGCACTTTTCTTCATTTCCTTTGACCTGCACTTCATACTTCAGATCTAAGAAAATTCACTCTTTTACCATAATAACAGCCTCCTAATAAATCGCTTGCCTCTCTCTATTTCATTCTCTAATCTGAAGTAGAACTACTATTTTTTAAAGACAAATCTAAAACTGGAATTGTTCTGATTAGAAATCCAAACTCACTAGCATAGCACTGAATGCCCTCTGTGATCAGTACCAAATCAATATTTCTGGTCTCAGATCTCAAAATGTTCTTTCTTGTATCTCAAGATACCTAGATAGGTCTATTTGCTGTTATCCAAACATAAACCACAGCTCCTCAACTCCCAGAGGTTGCCCAGAATATGCATATCCATTCAAACCATCTTCAAGGCCCCAGGATCAATGGTGCCCTCCTTCGTGAATACTTGACTGGTCATTGCCAGTGGAGGTAACTTTTCTCCCATCATTCTCACAACTATAGGTTTGCATCTCCTTCTGTACCTGTGTCTCCACCTGCCCTGCATTATAACTGTGTAAGTCCTATCTTTTCTACTGACTCACAGCCCACAAGAAGTCAGCCCTAACTCGTTTATTGTTTCAATCCCGACCATGATTAGTACAAGGTACTAAACAGGAGATATACTAAGTAAGTCACTGATCTCTTCTGGATTTGGGCTGTCTTTGTTGTAAATTGTAAATTCTAAGAAACTTAGTTAAAGAGGCTGTGTAGATCCACAGGTGGACAGTTGTGAAACTCTTTGGAACAAAGACTTTGCAACTCTGAGTTCTAAAGCCTGCCCAACACCCTCACATCCAGCCTTTAATCTGCCTTTGCTCTTTCATCTGCATCAGAACTTCTCTATCTTTTCTTCTCAGGATGCATTTTTTTTCTCCATTCCATATTCTTAGAACCTCTTAGCTTTTTTTCCTACCTGAAATGTTTCCTAAATGTTTTTGTTTGCCTCTGTGTGCAATACGCAGATCCCTCGATTTAGAGTCTTTTAGCACCAAGTAAGGTCCTGCCAGCTGTCTTCCAAGCAGCCAGTGTCTTTTCATGTACCCCCTGATGCCAGAGTTTTCTGAAAAAAAAAGTGTGGGGTTGCTTATTCACACCAAGGCATCTATATCCAAAGTATAGCCTCATAGGGTGTCTCTGCTGGGAAAGTAATGATTTGAAGCCAAAAGCACGGCAGGATTTCAGAGAAAAAAGGCTAAAGATAGAAAATATAGACCTGAAAAGGTAACAAAAGTGAAAACATGCAGAAAAAAAAACAACAAAAACAAAAACTTGACTCAGATTAGGAACAGCTTTTCCTCCTTTATATTGTCATATTCTAACACTCAGGATTTCTAAACTAGAGGCAGAGTGCCACAGGCCTGAGTCTAGTGTCTGACACCCCAATTTACCTACCTGGGACAGCTCCAGGCATGGAAGGTGCAGAGGAAGGGAGAGCAGTAGTGGGGGTCCTGCATGCCCTGCCATAGTCCCCAGTTACCGCTACCAACTTCCTGGCCTGAGCAATATAAGGTTGCCTCTAGGAAATCCCCTGAGCTCCTACAGCCAGGAGCTCGTGGCCTACTGGGTATACGAAGCTCCCACAGTGCTCCACACCTCTCTGGCTTACATTTCATTGCTCACACACAGGAGTAGGAAGGATAAGAACTAGAGGGAATAGCAAGACTATTCTATGGAGCTCCTCATGTTAGAAAAGAGGTTTTTAGAGCCTAGAAAAGACATCTCAAATTTTTACTGCTTGTTAGTGGCAGAATATTTAAACCTAGTTCTTCTAACTTAGCTTATGGCTTTTTTACTAGATAACTATGATCCATATCCGCAAGAAATACTGAACCCCATAAAGAATGCTTAAGCCACATAGAAATTAATTTCAACATCTGAATGTATTTAAAAAAGTAAAATGCTTACCTGGACCATCCTTGAAATTGACCCCAAACATGCTAAGAAGCACTGGTACATTGTGGCTGACCACACACACAGTATAATTATAAATTAAATTATAGAAAGTATTTGCCCAGGTTCAGAAGGTGTTGAGAGTGCTGCAGTGTGTTGTCTTCTTCACAAATGCTTACTGAACACCTGCGAGGGGAGACAGCATAAGTAATACAAATTAGCTGGCAAAGTTTTGAGCTAGATGGACCTGAGCTTGAGTCTAGGATATGCCACTTGCCTTGAGAACGTTTCTCACCCACACACAGTTCCACTGCCTCACCTGTAAAAACGTTATAATCATACATCTTAGAATGATTGGGATGATTAAATGCAAAGCATTTAGCTTATTGGCTGCCATATAGCACTTACTAGATGGTAATGCTTGTGTTTCAATCACGAACATTGGGTCCTGAAGTTAAAATAACTGGGAATGGATAATGACTGAAGTGTAAAACACAATAAGAATAAATTATTGAATGGATGTAACTCATTTCTAGAAAAACACTAGAGATATAACTGAAAGGAGTAGTGTTTAGTAACCAGAGACACATACTTGAACGGGATTGGGGAGGGCAATAAGAGAAGTTGGGTGTAGAAAGAACTTCTCAGATACCTGATGTTTGTCTGAGACTAACCATGCTGAGAATGTAGGATTCAGTGCATTGCCTAGTACACTCTTACATCTTCTCACAGTCACCCTGATTGTCACGGGAAAGGCAGGAAATCACCCAAGACCTGATCAATACAGAGATTTGTCTGAATTTTATGTCTGTTGTTTCTTTGTCATAAATTGATCTCTTTTAACTTTCCCTTATGAAAAAAATACTCTTTTTTATTTATTACAAGGTCACAATCCCTACCCTAAAGGTATATGATGTAAGGTATATCTTAGCAAACGTAGCTATAAATAGAGTCCTTCATTCAACATTAGACACAATTTTAGTCGTGGGAATGTGTAGATGAATAAGTATAACAATTAATATGCTAGTTTAGGATACTTCTAGGGAAACACAACAGCTCAGTGTATGCATTTCATTACATGCTTCTTAATCCCCTTGGTAACTTCTAGAAGGAAGCCCTCCTGTCCCTTGCTCTCTTTAGATCACTTGCTCCCCAGCTCTATTATACAGCCAGTTTCAAGGAACCTTGTTCAATTGCTTTTCTAGGTTGATATCCTATTTGCTAGATCACATTTTTTTTTTTTTCTTTTTCTATATTTGTTTGCTGGGGGCCTTTTACACTTTATTTTAGGAAGATTTTTTTTTATTATTTGGATACCATGGTTTTTTTTATTTAAATGCAATACTTTTGTTCTCTCTTTTTCCAACTGTTTGTAGAGAAACTTCCCTGTGCCACACACTTTGCTAAGCATCTTAAAGGTCTGGGACTGATTCCCCTGTGTGAGTTTTAGGGGGATGGTGGGGTGGGGTAAATTTTCCCATTCTCCCAGACACTAGTTGGATGTCCTGCAATTCAAATAAATTCTGATACTACTTACCAGAAATAGCATCAGATCCCACAAGGTAAAGGCTCTGTCCTACAGGACTGCCCTCCTCTGATTAGTGGAGGGGCTATGGTAAGCCATAATAGCCTACCTCTTCCAATTCCCCCAACACCAAACCCTGTGGGATTGGCTCTTCACAGTGGAATCCCAGTGGATGCCTCTTACTGTCTATTCCCATGTGCCATTGAGACCTGTTTGAAAGGGCAAGGCAATACCTCCTCTCCTCTCCTTCCACCTGAGCAGGGCCTACATGCCCCTCTACCATGCTTGTTGGCTCCTAAGATCTTGTCAAAGATTAGTCCTAAGAAACCTCTGGCAGATGAGGAATGTGAGTGCCAAGGATCCCAGTGCTAGTAAATAGCACACCAGGAACATAGTTTATTCTTCTTGACCTTCAGCTCCAGGCTTTCTTTACCCCTAGCCAAGTCCCTACTCCAGAGCAACTCTTCTTAGGGGACTTTCAAAAGCCAAAATGTAGGGTTGGCTAGAATGAAGGTGACAGAAATATAAACATCAATGATACTCGGTGTTCACAATATTTCCTTAACTTCAAAAACATTGTGGGCATTGTCTCTTTCAAATCAACCAAATTTAAAGGAAAGTACTCTCTACCCATTTTATAGATGAGGAAAGTAAATACCCAGAGGT